AAAAAAAAGTTCTTATCTTTTTAAATAATTACTTTTTTTCACAAAACACTTATGTAGACAATTTTTTTTAAGTTTAAATAGATAAACAAATAAACCCATTTTTAATAGATAAGATCTCAAAAATAAATTAGAAGTAATTTTCAGACTGTATATAAGAGTCAAAGAGGTGAAAAACTAATTTGATTAAGAGTTTAAAATTTAAAGTTTAGGATCTAATTGAATATGAATTATAAGTAATTTTGAGAAAAAAAAATAAAAAATTATTAATTGATTTGTTTGTTTAAACATTCTAAAAATAATTATTTTAAAAAAATTATTTAGATATTTTTTAATTTTATACAAACAAATTCATTTTTAGTAAATAAACGCTACAAATACTTTTAAATTTATATTCAAATAAATTCTAAAAAGAGACATTAGAATGAAAATTAAAGAGATATGAATCAACCCTCTTTAAAAAAAAATTAAAGTAAATTACTTATTTAAAAGCATCGAAGGTGTTCTTATAATCAATTCTTATGCCAAAGAAAAAATAATTTTTGAATGAAAATTTAATCATTTGACATTTCTTATTTTGGTTTTTTTCTTCTCCATTATTATTAAACCAAATATTTTTATTTTTATTTTATTTTTATTTATATCTATTTACTTATTTCTCTTTCATTTATTTCATGATAAGAATAGAAAATGTAAATGAAAATAGATAAAAAAATTATTTAATTTAAGAAATAAAAAATAAAAATAAAAGGAAATAGATAAGTATAAATGAATAAAAAATAAAATAAAAATAATAAATGAATCCCAAATACTTTTTTATAACACATATTTTTTATTTTTCAGTTTCTTCATTTTTCTTTGAGTAAGTACCATTATTATTTTTACTTCTTATTATTTCTTTTGTTTCCATCTTATTTTTTCTCTACCAATCAAAGGTAATAAGCTAATTTAAGGATGTGGACCATCCCACACAAGAACACATGTACTGTTCAGGTTAGTATGGTTGTTTTGTCACCCCATAGATCTTCAACCGTACCTTGATTTTAGTTTTATTAGCACTATTTTTTTTATAGAAAAAATCAACGTAGGATCTGGAGTTAGTTGTGTAATTTTTTTATATGACTTATTTATACATAGACTGATCTAAAAAATATTATTATTATAATGTTAATTTTTTTTATAAAGTTATAACAGTAAAAAAGAATTACTGTATATAATACTTCTATTTATAACCGGTTATATATTACAAAAATGTGACATTTATTAACCAGTTGAGAAACTTTCCAACACCTCTCTTAAAAAATATGGCTACAAACTCCACCAACTTATGATATGAAGATAGATTTCACTTTAAAATCAATTAGCAGCAGTTTTATTGTCTTAATATATATATATATATATATATATATATATAGAGAGAGAGAG